TGCTGAGAATCAAACCCGGGTCCCGCCCGTGCTAGTCGAGCACTCAACCACTGAGCCACAATCCCAGCCCCCTTTTTTATATTTTATTGAAAGACGGGGTCTCACTTAGTTGCTTAGGGCCTTGCTAAGTTTCTGAGCTGGCTTTGAACTCATGATCCTCCTGCCTCAGCCTCCTGAGCTGTTGGGATTCCAGACATGTGCCACCACACCTGACTAAGGACTTGTTTTAAAAGAGCAGTCATGCTGTAGAGGGAAAAGGACCCCTCCCTGCCGCCCTGCCCAGGTCTGTGTGAGGCCCACGTGAGGTGGTGGAGCGGGAAGCACCTTGAGAACTCCAAGTGTGGCCCTACACAGCGCCTGCCAGCCGACAGGGTCTGCAGCCCAGGCTCTGCCCATTGTACAGACAGGAGCACCAAAGCTGGAGGGCTCCTCACACAGCAGCTTCTTGTGGGCTTGGGTCCCTCTGCCTGTTGCCAGGAGCCCCACGCTTTGCCCGTCTGCCATGAAGCTGCCGCTGCAGTGGCTCCTGGCCCTTCTCAGCCCTGTTCCCCACCAGGTTCATCCTTGACGACTCCGCCTTGTACCTGTCCGATAAGTGTGAGGTGGAGACCCTGGATCTGCGGCGAGGTGGGCAGGGCCTGGACTTGGCTCCCTTCCCTCTGAGAGACCACAGCCCCCGCCATACCCAGAGCAGTGAGGTGTCCTCACCCCGCTGCTGCCCGGGTTTCCAGTGCACATGCGCACACACAGGGGCCACAACCAGGTGCACCTGATCCTCCCCCTGGTGGTGGGCAGGGACTGGCTGGAGGGAGACCATAGGAACCTGTCTTCCACCTCCTGCCTCAGATTATGTCTGTGTCCTGGACGTGGACCTCTTGGAACTGGTGATCAAAACGTGGAAGGGGAGCACTGAGGGCAAACTGGTGAGTGTAGCCTTCACTGGGGCCTGAGGAGGTCTGAGGGGGTCGCATGGCCTGCCCTGCCCTGATGGCTATATTAGCACCTGCTTGGGAAGGTTCAGGCCCCTGGTTGCCCCACACTGTTTGCTGAGTGGACAAGGTTTCAGCCCATCACCCAAGGGCATCTGTGAGGAGGGCCCAAAGGGGTCCTGGGACACTGACAGCCCTACAGGGCCCCAGTTTCCTCTGTTCAGTGAGAAACAGGCCCCTTTGCTGGACTGAGGTAGGGGCAGAGGGCGTGAGGTGATGGGTGGTTGCGCTCCTGCTCCCAGGGTGGCCTCAGCCAGGGCCCCGTCACTCTCTGAGTTTGCACATGTGCTCAATGGGTGTTGCACAGGCTGCCACCTGAGGGAAGGCTGGCCAGCACTCCCTGTGGCAGGGCAGACCTGTGGGCCCTCCCAGGATGGGCCCCAGGTGGGCAGTGGGGCCTGCACTGACGCCACCGCCCATCTGCCCACAGAGCCAGCCACTGTTCGAGCTGCGCTGCTCCAACAATGTGGTTCACGTGCACAGCTGCGCCGACTCCTGCGCGATGCTGGCCAATCTGCTGCAGTACGTAATGAGCGCAGGCGACTTGCACCCCCCACCCCGGCCCCCCAGCCCCACGGAGATCGCCGGCCAGAAGGTACAGGTGAGGCCTGGCCACACAGGCTTCCAGGGCTTGGCCAGGCCCCTCCCCTGCGTGGTCCTCAGGGTGGGGGTTTGGGGATCCCTGGGGACTCCCTCCTGTCACTCATCACTCCTCCCTGCCCGCGCCAGCTCTCCGAGAGCCCTGCCTCCCTGCCCTCGTGCCCACCAGTGGAGACGGCGCTCATCAACCAGCGGGACCTGGCTGATGCCCTTCTGGACACAGAGCGCAGCCTGCGGGAGCTGGCCCAGCCTGCAGGTGGGCTGGGGACACTTTGGGACAGCAAAAACACAATTAGGCACCCACAGTGACATCTCTCTAAACTGGATTCTGTCTCCCGTAGGTGGGCCCCTCCCTCAGGCCTCGCCCGTCTCAGTCTACCTGTTCCCAGGTGAACGGAGTGGAGGCTCCGCTGGCAGCTTAGGATCCCGCTCTGAGGCGAAGGAAGAGGAGAAGGAAGAGGAGGGGGAGGGAGACACCCTGGACAGTGACGAGTTCTGCATCCTCGACGCTCCTGGCCTGGGCATCCCGGTGTGTGCAGTGGGGGCTGCCTTGTTGCCAACCTTCAGGATCAGCCCTTCTGGAGCCCCCTCAGTGAGAGAGCAGGCAGGGACAGCCTGGGCACTGGGCTTGGAGGGGACACGTGGGTTTCCAGAGGAAAGGAGGCCTGGCATCCTGAGCAGAGGGACAGACAGTGGGAGATGGAGGAAGAGGAGGGGTGGTTAGCAGAGCAGGGGACCATGTGGCTGCCAGGCCAGTAGGAAGAGCCAGGGAGATGTGGACTCTTGACCCTTCCTGGTCAGATTACTGAGACACAAACTCTAGGGATGGTAGCCCAAGTGGGCCATCTTTTGTCAAAAACAGGTAGAAGAGGAGAGGGAGATGTAAGGACTGGGGAGAGACTGAGGGGCACCGCGCCGGGGACTGCCTCTGCTCATGCATCTTTGCTTGACTTCCTGGCAGCCCCGAGACGGGGAGCCTGTGGTGACGCAGCTGCATCCAGGTCCCATTGTGGTGCAGGATGGACATTTCTCCCGGCCGCTGGGGAGCACAGACCTGCTGCGGGCACCTGCCCACTTCCCAGTGCCCAGCAGTCGTGTGGTGCTACGTGAGGTCTCCCTGGTCTGGCACCTCTATGGGGGCCGAGACTTTGGCCCCCACCCTGGCCACAGGTGAGGAGGAGGGTACAGGTGGCAACCAGTGGAGATCAGGGCCCAGGCCCAGCCCCGCTCTGACTTGGCAGCTAGTGACCTTGAGCCTCATGCAACCCTCACTGGCCTGAGTCCCCTTCCTTGTCCCAGCCGCCTCTTAGGACTCAGAAGGGAGAAGGTCTCTTGCCCCAGGAGGGAAGGCCTCACGGGGCAGGGGGCAGGGGGCAGGGCAGGAACTCCTTTGTCACCTTGTCCCTCATCCTGCTCCCCAGAGCAAGAGTTGGACTCACAGGCCCCAGGGGCTCCCCTTCCCGCTGCTCTGGTCCCAACCGGCCCCAGAACTCCTGGCGAACGCAGGGAGGCAGTGGGCGGCAGCACCAGGTCCTCATGGAGATCCAGCTGAGCAAGGTGAGTGTGGCTGAGGGGTGCACAGCATTGTCAGAGCACGTCTGGGCTGAGGTTCTAGCAGACAAAATGCCTGCCTTCTCAGTGGAGCAGCCAAGCAAGATGGCCCTAGTGTGGCAAAAAAAAAAAGCCAAAGGCAGGAGGAACAGGTAGAGGAGCCCTGTTTTCAAGAAACAGAGAACGAAGGGAGACAGGAGCCGAGGCGGAGTGATGTGAGCGCTGCCAGCTGGGAGCATTGCTGGGTCTTCCAGGAGCCACCAGGCCCCAGCAGGGCCAAAGCCAAGTGAGGGAGGAGAGTGAGAGGAGGTGAGGCCAGAGATGGCAGGGACCTCATAGAGCTCAGAGAGCACAGAAAGGTTTTGGTCTTACGGAGTGAGGTCCCCTTGGGGCCTGGAGAGGCTGCCTCAGTTCAAGACAGTGGGACGGTGAGGATGGGCAGACTCTGGAGGGACCAGATGGCAGGAAGAAACACTGGTTTGGTCTACGTTGTATATGAGGCATAGAATGTTCCAGAGGGTATCTGTCCTGAGAAATTGTGCAGGGGAGGCCCCACCTTTTGAGCGGAGGCAGACAGCACCCAGGCTGTTGGGAGCAGTGGGTTCCCCAAGGGCTCAGCGACCAGAGGCCTGAGACCTAGCGGGAGCCAGCAGCCCTCTAGGATTAGCAGGAAGGTTCTCTGCAGTGGGGCACAGAGGCAAGGCCTGAGGATGACACAGGCTGGAGGGGCACAGGGAGCATGGGGACAGCAGATCTAGAGGGAAGAACAAGGCCAAGGCCATGCTTGTCTAGACTGGGGCACAGCACTCAGGGGACATACAGCACTTCATGGCCTCTTGGGCATGTGGAGAGTGGACGGGGTGGTCCAGGGCAGGTGGTGAGGGCAGCTGTGGAGGGAGGATGATGGAGAGCGAGTCCAAGATTCAAAGGTGTTCCAGGGAGGTGCTGGGGTCATGGCTCAGCGGTAGAGCACTCGCCCAGCATGTGCGAGGCCCTGGGTTGAACCCTGGCAACAAAAAAAAAAAAAGAAAAAGGAACAAGGTGAAACAAAAATAAAAAAAAAAAAACTAAAAAAAAAAAAGGTCCAAAGGCGCCCGGAAGAACCCCGAAGGGAACCAAAAGGGGCCCCAACGGGGGCAAGGGGGGCCGGAACCAACGGGGGAACGAGGCTGTGGGGACAGGGCAGGTGGATGTGGGGAAGGTATCGGAGTTCAGCGCAGCCAGGTCTTTTGCTGCTGGTGAAACTCACATGGAAGCCTCCAGTTGGCAGCTAGATGCAGGCCTGAGGTGGGAACGGGCACAGAGTCACTGAGAGAAGGGGCCTGCGCCAGGCCTTCCCTCCCTCCGGGGTCCACTCCACAGGTGAGCTTCCAGCACGAGGTATACCCAGAGGAGCCGGCTGTAGGCCCAGTCCCTAGCCAGGAGCTGGAAGAGCGGCCACTGTCCCGCCAGGTGCTCATTGTGCAAGAGCTGGAGATCCGCGACCGGCTGGCCACCTCCCAGATTAACAAGTTCCTGCACCTCCACACGAGCGAGCGGCTGCCGCGGCGTACCCACTCCAACATGGTGCGTGCAGGCGCGTGCTGTGGGGGCCCGGGGAGGGCAGCGCTCAGGCGGGCCTGGCAGGGGGACCAGTGCAGGGAAAAGGGGCCTGATGGAGTGGGAAGGGTTCAGGAACCCCCGAGCCCCAGCAAGCACGGAACTCGTTCTCTGCCCGCAGCTCACCATCAAAGCGCTGCACGTGGCCCCCACCACCAATGTGGGTGGACCTGAGTGCTGTCTCCGTGTCTCGCTGATGCCCCTGCGGCTCAACGTGGACCAGGTGAGCAGACCAGGTGAAGGCAGAGCCCAGCATGTCCCCTGCTGTCTCCATAACTCTGAGTCTGATCTCTCCAAACACTTCTGTGCAGGATGCCCTCTTCTTCCTCAAGGACTTCTTCACTAGTCTGGCAGCTGGCATCAACCCCTTGGTCCCAGGAGAGACCTCTGCAGAGGGTGAGAGGCTGGGCCAGGGAGGGGAGAGCCCAGGTATCTGCCTCTGGACAGCCAGGCACCCGGCCATCCCTGGTCTGTCCCTGGTCTGAGGCCTCTCTCGCCTTAGCTCACCCTGAGACCCGAGGCCGGCCCAGTAGCCCTCAGGAAGGGCAGCCCAAGAGCACAGACACCAACAGCTCACAGGAGACCTCTGGCAGTGGACACAGCTCCTCTGTTGAGCAGCAGCCAATCTACTTCAGGTAGGGATGTAGCCCAGATATCCTGGGCCAGGCTGCTGGGGACCGGTCAGTGCCCAAAGGACTCTCTCCCTGTTTCCTCACCCAGGGAGTTCCGCTTCACATCTGAGGTGCCCATCTGGCTGGATTATCATGGCAAGCACGTCACCATGGATCAAGTGGTAAGCAGGGCCATCTGGCAGGGCAGGGTGGGCTGGGCTCTCTGGGGGTCCTCGTTCTGCTCAGCTATGGCCAAGTCTTCCTGGGGACAGGGCTTGCGTCAGTCTCTGTGCCCATCGCAGAACTGGACCCCCCTTCCCTAGGGCACTTTTGCTGGCCTCCTCATCGGCCTGGCCCAGCTCAATTGCTCCGAGCTGAAGCTAAAGCGACTCTGCTGCCGGCACGGGTGAGCCCCCTGCCCCCAGCGCCCTGCCCGCCAGGTCCCCGACCTTCCCTTTGCTGTGCTTCTGGCTGGTTGTGTAGCCTTGTCCAAAACCCTCCCGCGGCCTGTCTCTCCTCTGGGTAATGGGCGTAGTCATTGCTCCGCACACGCCTGTGGACCATGGGAGGTGCCCATGGTACTTGCCAGAGCGATCCTTGGTCCTTCCAGGCCCCTTAACTCTCCTCCACCTCCCCCTTCTCATCTCTCCTCCCAGGCTCCTGGGTGTGGACAAGGTCCTGGGCTATGCTCTCAACGAGTGGCTACAGGACATCCGCAAGAACCAGCTGCCTGGCCTGCTGGGCGGCGTGGGTCCCATGCACTCAGTCGTTCAACTCTGTAAGTGGCTTTGAGGACCCTTGACTGCGTTACGCTTGGACGGCGAGACACCTGCATGGGGGAGGGAGGAAGAGGCCGCCAGGCAGTGGAAATGGAGGCAGGACAGCCTCAGGCATCTCTGACAGCCCCATCTCCCCCAGTCCAAGGGTTCCGGGACCTGCTGTGGCTGCCCATTGAGCAGTACAGGAAGGACGGGCGCCTCATGCGAGGGCTGCAGCGGGGGGCCGCCTCCTTCGGCTCGTCCACGGCCTCTGCTGCCCTGGAACTGAGCAACCGATTGGTGCAGGCCATCCAGGTGAGCGCAGGCTCTGGCCACGGGGGAAGGAAGCACCAGAAGCCCCCGTCCCTCCGCGCCTTCAATCTGCCCACAGAGCTGCTGAGACGGTCCAGTCGGTTCTGCGTCCTCGATTTAGAGAAACAGTCCTGGAGAGGAGAGGCCCAGTGATGGCCCGCAGCCGCAGAGCCCTGAGGCACACGGTGGCTTCCACCACTGTGTCTTCATGCTCAGGGGTGTCTGGGAAGGAGGGCAGGAGCAGCACTATCTATAAAGTTTGGCCCTGGTTTGTTCAGGCCATATGCTTCGCCAGGCCCAAGGGGTCCTCAAGGGCATCAGGGAGCTGGCCTGTGAGGAGGACAGTCCTGCGGCAGCAGCACACAGTGTGTCATCCCTGGGGTGGGGGGTGACCATTGTGGGTGCGGTGAGCCTGCAGGATCATCCAGGAGGGCTGAGGATGAGGTCTCAGAATGGGAACCTGGGGAGACAAGCACAGGGAGCCCCAAGTGTGTTAAGTTGGGTGGGAAAGAGTGATACTGGGGCCCGTGTGGGGGTAAAGAGAACAGAGGAGCCCAAGGGCAGAGGAAGCTGGGGCTCAGTGATGGTCAGTGGGGTCTCCGGGGCCAGTCCTCCTCCGGTGAGCTCATCGGGGGCAGCCATGAGAAGCCTACCTGGGTGTGGCAGTTAGAGGGGAAAGGGTTCCGGTTTGGGGAGACATGAGGAGCCCCCAGGGGTCATGTGCTGTTTGAAATTCCCTGACCTGGGCGGCAGGAGCCATGGAAAAGGAGGAGCAGGAAAATGGCTGGGAACAGGCGCCCAGGGTGCATAGCGGAGGGCTGAGTGTGGAGAGGCTGAGGGATGGCAGGGTCCCTGAGCTGGCCTGGGGGCCTAGGTGCCAGTGTGCTGCCTGGCCAACTCTTCTGTGTCCTTCAGGCCACAGCTGAGACAGTGTACGACATCCTGTCCCCGGCGGCGCCCATCTCCCGCTCCTTGCAGGACAAGCGCTCTGCTCGGAGGCTGCGCAAGGGCCAGCAGCCCGCTGACCTCCGGGAGGGCGTGGCCAAGGCCTATGACACTGTTCGAGAGGTGAGTGACGCCCCAGCCCTGCTCCCAGTCACCCCACACCCACCTCCTCACTCAGACCCTTGCACTGACCTCTGACCTCCACAGGGCATCCTGGACACAGCCCAGACCATCTGTGATGTGGCCTCGCGGGGCCATGAGCAGAAGGGGTTGACAGGCGCCGTGGGAGGGGTGATCCGCCAGCTGCCCCCAACGGTGGTGAGGCCATTCATCCTAGCCACGGAGGCCACGTCCAACCTGCTCGGGGGCATGCGCAACCAGATCCTGCCCGATGCCCACAAGGACCATGCTCTCAAGTGGCGCTCCGAGGAGGCCCAGGACTGAGACCAGGCTTTCAGGACCTGGTGGGACCCTGCCCACCCACCCTCTCCACCTGCCCCAGTGGTGCCACCAGCTCCCAGACCTCCTGAGAGTGGCGACCCATAGCTGGGCCAGTCCTGGGCCTTTCAGGGGATGGCCTCTGTGAAGGACAGCTGCCCGGCCCGCCTGTTGCCAATCCGCTGTGAGCGTGGGGTTCCCTGCCTTGGGGCCTCGACCCCATCTGTGCACTTTTCCTCTGGGGAGAAAGGGCCCTGCCCCTCCCCTCCACCTGGGCCACCTGCTGCTGCCTTGTCCCAAGACAGAGGCTTCTGGACCCTCAGACTCCAGCCCCACTCAGCCAAGTGTCTTTCCATGTCTCGTGGGGAGGTGGGGGACAGACTCCGTATGGTTCTGTATTATTTTTAAGCTCCTTGAGCGCGTGGGTCAGTGTCTGCATGAAGTGGAATAAACTGTGCCCACCGCCAGTCCCTCTCCCAGGTCCTGAGTGCCTGAAGGGCCCCTGTTGGCCCTCCCCTCCGCCTGCCCCTTGATTTCTGGCCCGATCCCATCCCTGTACCCAGTTCCTCCCTGTCACCACCAGGGGGTGCCACACCTTCCAGCCATCTTCCCTCACCTGACTTGCCTCTGCTTGGGCTCTACCTGGCCACCCTGCCAGGGAGCTCCTGGCTCCACTTCTTACTGGCAGAGGCTGAATGAAGCTGGGAGGAGCCACCTGGGGCTGCCAGGGAAGTAGGATTGGCCCTTGGATCCCCGAGGTTCAGACCAGAGCAAAGGGCAAGGATGTGAGCCAGTCAGGACGGCGCAGGCCCTGATGTGACCCCCACTCTGAGCCTCGGGTTCCTCCAGGTGGTCCCAGCCTACCAGCAGGGTCTAGTCTGTCACTTGGGGCCATTCTTCAAAGGCTGAGCCTCCTGGAGGCTGCTCCCACCATCTGGAGCAGAAGACTTTGGGGGTGATGAGACATCAGAAGAGGAAGGGTGCTGGGGTGCAGTGCTGTGGCTGGAAGGGTCACGGAACATCCCATGAGACTGGGAGATGCCCATTGCCCACCATTCCACCCTGTTTCTGTGAACAAGAAAGGGAGCCATTCCCCACGCCCCACTCTTCCATCGCAACCCACAGAAGCAGGAAGGCCTATGGAGGGATGGGCCTGGTTAGGAGTCAGGGCTGGAGAGCCCGCGCCTGCAGACCCCTTTGAAGTTAGCAGAGGGCCACCAGCTCCTTCTCTGCCTCTGGGGGAAGATGGGGCAGCAGCTTTGACCAGGTTCTGGCTGCCCATGGTCACTTGGGGCAGTAGGAAGTAGGCAAAGAGGTTGAAGCCCAGAGGGAGATGGCTGCATGGCTGGGGTCTGAGGCCACCAGGATGGGCAGATGGGGCCTAGCCGATGCTTCCTGGACCCACCCACCTGCCCGGGCACAGTCCAGGCTTTCCTGCCCTTCGAACCGCACTTGTGATCGGTATTGACGGCAGTGGGCTAAACATTAACCGCCACCAGGGCTGGGCCAACGACTCAAAAGGCGCTGAGCCCAGGGTGTCCCCACTTCCTTCTGTGCCTCGAGGGCCAGCCAGGCACCCAGGTAAGAGACCTCCCGACAGTCTCCCTGCAGCGCTGTGCCCGCGTGCTCCCGAGCCCAGGTGCCTTTCTACAAAGCCTCTGAGCAGGAGAGAAGGGGACCTGGCTGACCCTGGGCTAGCCTCCTGCTCTGTGCCTGATTCCACCCTGGGGGCAGGGGGCTGCAGTGTCAGCTGAGTGGCCTGGCGTTTTGTGGCCAGGCCTCTGGGAGGGTCCGCTGGGTTTGGGGGGATGGTTGGTCACCTGCTCTGGCGTCTTCATTCACAGGCCCCAACTCCCAGGATCCTACCCA